CATCTGCCATTCACTGAAACAAAATTGTGCGCCTTTAGCTTCTACTGCTAAAGGTCTAAAGTGATTAAGTCCCTCACTGATTCTCAGATGGCTGGCATTAACAATTGGATTCAGAACAGAATTAAAAGTTATGGTTGTTAGGGAGTTTGGATTATCTACAGAAATGAGGTGAAGGAGATTTCATTGACTAAAAGAAAATCAAGAGAAGGTACTGTTAAAGGCATATAACTGAAAGTTATATTGCAAACTGACAGCATTCTAGCAGAATGTACACTGTCGCTGGGAAGAGGTGGAAGGAATCCTAAAGCTCTGCTTTCTAAAGAACCATTCCTTTTACTGGAGGCTGAAGCATGAGCTGACTTTCATATAAATTCACTTAATTACTTTAATGTTTCAGAGTCTTTAAAACAAAAACTTTGTATATGACATCAAATTACACCACACTCGGATTCTATTTAGATGTGTTTAGACATTTGTACATTTATCATGCCCTGCGTTTTTTAAATGAAGCTATTTAACTTGTCTCATTTTTAATGTTTTCTTCCTCTGCTTTAAAATCCATTGCATCACTTTCTAAATTTTAGCACTACATGTCTACACATAATCAGGCATAAACTGATGATAGCCTCATAACCATACTGAAATCATGTTTCATGCAAATTTGTTAGGAATGAAAATGTTCAGAAGCATAGACATCTATTTTGCGAAAGGCTAAGGCAAAAACTTGTGCACTTGTGCACTAAGCTTTCAGAATAGGAATATGAGGTATGGAAGATGGATGCTTACTATCTGTGCTTAAGTCAACACCATACCTCTTTAGGAAACAAAATCTAGAATTAGCAAAGTTCTACTTAATTCATGAAGCTTCTTTTCCCCCTCCACCCCGGATGTCCCATAGGGCAGGAAGCACACAACATTGCATGATTTTCACAAAGCAGTCAGCAGAAGCCTCTCAGTTTCAAAGGCACAACTCATGTCCCTCAAGTTCAGCAGAATTATACAAGAAGATTTTCAATTTCATATGCTCTAAAAGTTACTTTCCCAGAACTCACATATGGTAATGAAGGCTCAGAACTGAAGCTGAAACAAAAATGTACATTACCTCCTTCAATGGCTTCTTCCTCAATAATCTCACAATCCACTGACACAGTAACAAAGCCATTTGCTTCTTCTCTTTCCCCCTGTCCTCCTCCATACATCCCTACCTCCTTTCAGCTGCTTCTGGTTGCTTTTACACAGACAGTTTATGGTCACCCCACTTTTGAAAATTCTCATGCCCCCATATGTTATCTATAATCACTGGGAAGAGAGGGTAATTCAGTAAGGCTCCTGTTTGGTGTCTAGTGAAGCTCTTTCATGCTCTCTCCTGTGACTATACAAGCAGACCAGCTCCTTAATTTAACATAGTGTTCAGTGGTATGAGTAGTCTCCCAAGCTAAAGCTCTTCTCTTAGAACATCTACCATAATAACTTTTTTAAAGATGCAGCAGTTACAAGTTGAGTTAACCCAGATATAGAAGGTGAAGGTAATTTCATTGGCTACAACATAACTGAGAAGTTTGGAAGCTGCTCTTTTGAAAGCAATCTGTTAAGAGCTCTCCAGCAGACAACCCTGGCTGATAAACCCTGCTGATCTCTATATTCTTCATGCTGATTTATAAATTACTGCTAAATTACTGACCACATGCATCCAGAAGTACGTGTCCCAGTACAACACTGGAAACCTATTTCATAAACATCATTCAGAATTATGGCAATACCAGTTCCAAATTTACCACGATGTTATATCATTGTATTTATTGTATTCACTTCTTAAATCACATAAAATATGACACCCTGACCCATGAATAATGGGAAAAATAAATTAGATTAATATGTCAACCAAAAATTTCACTGGTAGATTCCATGTGCAAGTCTTTGATAGCAAAGTGACCTGCATTTGCTCACTTATGCTCTCTCTGCCAGCTTTAAGTATTTAAAACCAGCATGTTTTACTCAGATTAAATGAAACTTCTAGGTATTTGGCACATAAATTTGTGACATCAGCTTTTAAATCCCAGACACAGGTTCTATACTGCTAAGTGGAAAGAAGACCTGACTCTTGTATTCTGATGTTCCTTGCACAATGCTTGCATTCACTTAAATGTTTACATTCAAATTCACTTATCCAGTTGTTAAGTCTTACAAATTCACTACTTATGTATAGTCAGTTTACTTACTATAAATGTTTCAGTAGTGTAACAATAAAGCAGATTCCTTCCTCCCACAGAAGGAGCTTGCTTTAACACAAACCAATTGAACGAAAAGTAACAGTGAAACTTTTCTGGAGCGTACGCGCTCAAAAGCCTTGCTGATGCCCACAATAACTGCATGTGGATATTTTAAATGTATTATTTTTTCGCTGAGTGAATTTATATAGTATGCCTATTTTTCTATATTAGCATGCAATAAATGTATCTTTAGCACGTGATAAACACCTGGGTGTTTTTTGTCTGACTGATTCTAATCATAACACAAGCAAATGATCAGTGAATGAAAAAATAATCATAGCCAATAAAAGCAGTAGCAGCAGAGCTGACTAACATGAGACAGCATCAGGCTTCTTGTGCAAACTAAAGATACGCTTTTTGCATGCAGCTCTGAATTACACAGATGCTATCTTCCAGAGAAGAAGTCTTGTTGGAGAAGACTTGTACTGTTAAAAAACTTTGAGGGGTCCCATTCTTGGATAAGGAGGCAAAATCCTTCCTTATCAGGTAATCCAACATGCCTCTGAGCACACTCATATTTGTAGTGGGGAAGAGTTCTGACTATACAGTTTTGTGCATGGAGCAATATTCAACATTGTTTATACATTGTGAAGGGTTTGGAGTACCTGGTATGTGACCAAGGGTGAAATGCAAACCTCTGTTTGTCACACCCCAGTCCAGTGAGGTATGGAGAGTCCCTAAATCTTGCCGATGTGAACAGAAGCTAAGAACTCTGACTAGGTCACAGGAAGGAGACCTCAGCTACAGAAAACATAATCAAGCTACTCAAGTTCAAGAGCAGTTTAGCATGTGCCTCCATTAAACTATACAGTCAGAGCCCTTTGCCAAAAACAGAGTTTAAAGTGAAGGGATTTTTCTACATTTCTAATATTTACAATTATTTGTACATATGTACATATTTATATATTTATTCATACCTGGACAATGTGACATTAAAGGGTTATTTTATACTTTACAAATTAAACATTTTAAAAATGTATAACTATACCATGAAAAAAACCACTTTTTTTATTGCTTGCCTTCCAGCCTTATGCTCATAATCACACTATTGCACACGTTTCCATGTTACATGGAAGATCAACATTTATATATAAATATATATGAAAATAAAGATATTTTTATTTTCATGTTCTGAGTAAAGTGCTCATTTTTTAACTTCTGATGATGAGAAAGGTTTAATCTGACAGTTTAATTAAAGGGACTTCAAAGGATACACACCTTTTCCATGCTTTCCCTTTCATTTATAACTTACAAAATGTCTTCATTTTACTGATATCAACTCTGTCTTAACTATTAATTCTACTCATAATATGCATTTGTGACCTTGGCATCTATACTGTCACACAAATACAAAACAATCACATTAAAAGCAAAGAAAAAGCAAGAAAATAAGACAGCAAATGAAAGCAATGTTTCTCTTTTTTGTTTTTAGCACATTTCCATGTCTTAAGATACTCTTTTATTTGATTTTAGAAATATTTGTACAACTTTGTTAAACTCTGAACATACCTATTTTATGCACTATACTCAAGTACTGTACAAAACTGCAATAAATGACACTATACGACTACATATGTCTCTACTAGAAGACATCATCATAAAGGTGTATCTTTTTTAAAGGTCAACTAATAACTGCTAATGTATGTGTGAATCAAAATATTTTTGATTGGACAAGTATACTAAAATCTAAATACAGTACACAATTATTACTTATGGTGTGATTTACCAGGCTTTTAGGGGTGTAAAGAATCTTTGCAAAGGCTCAGATGAAAAAACAATTTTACTGATCCATAATAAATGTTCATATAAAATTGCAAATGGCAGCTCCAATTTTGTTACATTTGTGTATATGAAATACAGTTGATATCTACTGATGATGTATGACCTTTTATTAAAAAAATAACATTCAAATCTTAGCAAAACCATTTCTAGTATACAAAGTTGTTGTAAAGTTATGTCAGCGAAATGTAAAGTTGCAATTTACAAAAGCAGCAGTAAATTTTATTATAGGGACAATTTCCTGAACTTAAATCATGATTCTTGTTTCCTTTGAAAACAATGCTTTCTAGGATAAATAAAGGTAAATATTTTAATGGCAGATTTTAGGATAACATTAAGTAAGGAAAAAGAGTGTATTATATTACTGATATACTTAACCTGAAAAATTTCTGAGTGCTTTTATGAACCTGACAATAATCCAATTAAGAACAAAATAAAAAACCAAAGAAATACAACTTTGCTGAACCAGACAACCTGGCTTAGCAACATCAAATAAATAAAACAGTGAAAAGAATGAGAGTTTCACTAGCGAAACTTGGTTGCTATTGGAAATTTGACTTACACCTGCTTTTTCCCTAAATCAATTAGAAGAGTTTATTAATAACTTTAAACAGGACAGAAGTAAGAAATTTGTGGCTTTTGCCATATAGTAGTCTTTAGTACCTCTTCAGTCTAACTAGTATCCAGAATGTTTGTGAACAGTAGAACTGTATGACCTCCGTACTCTGTTATGTACATGGGTACTGCTATTGTATGAAACAATTACACCTTTTTAAAAAAATCACTTTTTTAAATGACAGTTTCTTTCATTAAAGTAGAATTAGTTACTTTATAGAAAAATATTTTAACTTTAAATTAAAAAAATACTGTTCCTAAATAATTACGTAGGATCATAGCTTCATTTCATCATATGGAGAGAATATAATTCTGTATATTTGAATCCTAGTTTAACAGAACTCCCCTGGGTATAACTTTTAAAGAGCTGGCTATATTTGCCATGGGTGCTATCTGTTTACAGACCCATGAATTAACACTGTGCCCCTCCTTTGGAGATACACAGATAAGACATCTATATACACTCTGTACATAATGGTTCACAGATTAGCAGTTATTAGTCGTACTGTACATAGTGAACAACCTATCTGTTTAGAATGATGCTTTAAGTCCTCAGTGCAATTCAGCTTTTAGGTTGATGGCGCAAAGCCAAGTAAGACAGGCTCCCTGTTTAAATATGTAGCCCAGTACACTAAATTAAAAGTACCAAATAAGACTGGAAACACTATTCTAGACATTCTGTCAATTTTGCTAACACTGTTGAATGTCTTCTTTGCTTCCTGTGGCTTTGCTTCTGGTTTTGCCTTGTTGGGTTCTGCAGTTGTAGCACTCTTGGAGATGGTGGGTAGCACTGAGTCCTTGGTAATATTTGGAGCATAATTGGCAACAGCCACTGCATAGGCATTGTTTTTCTTAATGACAGATGCTTTTTCTTTTTTCTATTGGAAAATAGCATGAAGTTAAATATTGAATGTGTATTTGCCAGAATAGACTTAATAAAACATAATTTCAAATATAAAAGAAACAAATGAATATGTGTATGTTAAAATAAATACCAATACCATACTGATAAATTCAAATATAAAGAAAGACACTTGCAGTTTATGGAGAAAGAAGGTACAGGTAATACAAGAATGCCCTAAAAAACATGGACTCTTGCAGCATCAAATGCCCTACTGAAGTTATATGAGGAAGGGTCTGTTACTGCAATTGTAAGGATATCTGGAAAAAAATTGGTCTTTTGCTAGCTGCTTTGTATCTGGCTCCTTGGAAGACCTTTAAAATTTTGTCTGTTAAGAGAACCAGAAGGAATGAATGAGTGGACTGGAAAAAAAAAAAAAGTTTACCCGGCATTGTAATAAAATGAAAATTAGGCCATCTTTCCCATATTAATCTAGCATCTTTCCTATTTGAACATCTCATAAAATACAACCAATAAATAAAGCAATTTCAGTAATGGTCTACATTTTTAAGAGATTCTGGAGAAATATGTGTGTGTTTACATGTATATATACATAGACACAAACACACAGAGGTCAGAGAGAGATGGCAATTAAGAAGGACTCCAACCTGGTAGTTGCAGAAGTGAACTGAGAACTAGCCCAAGAATTATTTCTGTTTTTCAGAAACTATTGTTTAAAAATATATATAACAGTGATGAAAATGGGGATTAAGATACAAAAAGTGGGAAGGAATGACAAGAATTTAATGAAGTTCACCAAAGAGAAGTTTAAGTCCTGCAGCTGGGAAGTAATAATACACTAGTACAGCAGCTTTTCAGAAAAAGTTCAGGGGGTCCTGGTTGACACGAAGTTGAACACAAGCCAGCAATGTGCCCTCACAGCAACAAAGGCCAACAGCCTCCTAGGCTGCATTACAAAGAGTGTTGCCAGCAGGCTGAGGAAGGTGATCATTCTCCTCCACTCTCACTCCTCTGGAGAGAAACATCCAGAGTGCTGGATCCAGTTCTGGACTCCCCAGTTCAAGAGAGACATGGACATAATGGAGCAAGTCCAGTAAAAGATCACAAAGATGATTTAAGGCCTGAAGCATCTGAAATATGAAATGATGAGAAAGCTGGGTCTGTTCAGCCAGGAGATGAGAAAGCTCAAAGGGGACCTTATCAATGTATATAAAAATCTGGTGGGACAGAGTAAAGAAGACTAGACCAGACTCTTCTCAGTGATATCCAGCGGAAGGACAAACAGGCAATGGGTGCAAATTGAAATACAGAATATTCCACTTAAACACACAAAAAAAGCCCCTGCTTTACTGTGAGCATGACTGAGTAGTAGAACAGGTTTCCCAGAGAGGTTGTGGAGTCTCCAACCATGGAGGTATTAAAAAAATGCCTGGACAAGACCCTGAGCAACCATTCCTAGCTGACCCTGCTTGGAGTAGGGGAGTTAAATTTGACAATTTCCACAGGTCCCTTCCAACCTCAACAATTCTGTATTTTTATGTGATTGTGTATGCTTTCAAATGGCTAAAGTTCAGCCAATGGCAGTCCAACGGAGAGGCTATGTCTATAGATAGATGGGGAGATGTATAGATAATGAGTACAGGCTTGAGTTTTAGACATATATATATATATATAGGTACACAGGCTAGCTCTACAATAAAACTGTAATGCTATAAATTGATTCACTGTTTTGCAGCAATCCAGTTCAATCCAGTTCAAACTGTGTCCAGTTCTGGGCCTCCCAACATAAGAAAGACATGGACCTACCAGAGTGAGTCCAGAGGAGGCCACGAGGATGATCAGAGGGCTGGTGCACCTCTCCTATGAGGACTGAGAGAGTTGGGGCTGTTCAGCCTGGAGAAGAGAAGGCTTAGGGGAGACCTTATAGATGCCTTCCAGTACCTGAAGGGGCCTACAGGAAGGCTGGGGAGGGAATTTTTACAGTGATAGCATAAGAGGTAATGGCTATAGACTGGGAGAGCCGAGATTTAGATTAG